TCACACACACACACACACACACACACACACACACACACACACACACACACGTGCACTCTCTGTCTCTGTCTCTCTCTCTCTCTCTCTCACACACACACATACATACACACACACACACACGCACACACACACACACGCACACACACACGCACACACACACACACGCACACACACACGCACACACACACACTCTCACAAACACAGGCACACACATTCTCCTGTCTATTGATGGGGAGCACCACCTGCTGGAAACTGGGTCCAGCGTCCCATGAACATCATGAATAAAGCACCGACTGGGACCCCACACACACACTCTCTTCGAGTCTCTTCAAGTTGTGTTTTAGCCAACATGACAAAACATAAATACAGCATAATCACTACCTTACCCATCCCGAACCACATCAACAAAACATAAATACAGCATAATCACTACCTTACCCTTCCCGAACCACATCAACAAACAAACTACGGGCTGTGCACCGTGCCCTCACGGTAAGTCAATGCTTCAATGGCTGCCGACATCGCTCGTCCAGGCCCCTCTATTGGCGTTTGCCCGCGCTTTTTGAACTGTCGAAATGTTTTCGGAATAGAACCGGTCCCCTGCTTGGAAGGCTGACAAAGCACGGGAGGACGAATCGAATGGTTGACGACATCGCTCCTCCAGGCCCCTCTATCACGCTTGGAGCGCTTGCAATGGCGATGGCGGCCACAGCAATGACGGAATTTGCATCAGCAAAGGAAGGAAGCGCGGTGATCATGGCAACGTCGGCGGATGACAACCATCCTGTGGAGCACATTCTGGATGGGCTGGAGGAAACTTTCTGGGCAACAACGGGACTGTATCCACAAGTGTTCATTCTCGCATTTCCCAGAGCCGTTAGCTTATCAACCATCAGGACACTGACACGCAATGTACGCAAGCTTCTCGTGGAGCGGACGGAGGAATCTATGCCAATGAAATTTGAAAAGGTCTTCGAAGTTGAGCTGAGCGATCGAAGTAACCGGCTACAAGCGGAAGTGCAGCAGGTCAACAATACAAAAGCGCATTTCTTACGGATCACGATCAAGAGCGGATGGGATGATTTCTGCACAGTTCACCGACTCTCATGCGAGGGCTGGCCATCCAGCTAGATAGATAGATAGATAGACAGATAGATAGATAGATAGATAGATAGAGAGAGAGAGAGAGAGAGAGAGAGAGAGAGAGAGAGAGAGAGAGAGAGAGAGATGTAGATAGGATATTATTTAAGATAAGATATGTGCGGGAAAAGAAAAACATAAGATATGTATGTGTGTGTGTGTGTGTGTGTGTGTGTGTGTGTGTGTGTGTGTGTGTGAGAGAGAGAGAGAGAGAGAGAGAGAGAGAGCCCCACATCTGCTCAGTTGGCAACTTAGCACCAAATTGAAATTCTATTACGTTGTTCAGTTAGGAACACATTATCATTACACTAAAAAAAGACAAAAAAAAGAAGGGGAATTGCTCCTGAGTCACCTTTTTAGTTTGAAGTAGGGCAAGGAAAGACAAAGTTGCGCCCATGTAATTGTGAACTAGCTAATGAGCATGGAATGGGAGGTGTGGAGGGGGAGGAGGTGCATCGTCCCGTCGTACTATTCGCTTCGATGATCGAGAATCATATATGAAATGATAGGATGATGCGTGAGCCAGAGAGTGAGGACGATGGACCGCTGCGGCCTTGCAGGGGGAGGGGAGGGAGATGGATGCGCGCTACATTGCCATGCATTTTAAATGAATCTGGAGGGTTTTCTCGATCCTATACAGGGCACGGCTCCACTTCACGTACAGTACGGCGGTGCGCCGCCGCGGCTTCAGAAGCGGTGCCCAAGGCAGTTGTGGGTCGTTAAGGAGACCAACAGGGTGCAGGTTCGGTTCCGTACGGTGTCACGGGGATTGGATTTAAGGCCGAAGGTCGTAATGATCACATTTCAGACTCTCTTGACTGGTTATGGTCCTGAACGCGGCCATATGCATGCACGAAAGTCTTCTATAGGATGGTGCGTGTTGAGAATCCACGCCTGCATGCTGCCCGCGTCCCGTGCTTGCATATTATCTAGAAATAGATGGTGCCAAAACCAAGCTCTTGACCAATCACTGATTGAGATTTACCGTCATCATCATCAACTGCAGTCTCATACCAATTAGGTTGTCCATAAAAGCTTTGAAAAGTCAAACTTACTCGTACGGACTCTGTCGACATGAACCCTAAGCCCTTGAAAACTCAAGCTTACAACGGGCTGACCATTACGAGTAAAGGTTCACTTTTCAAAGACTTATTATTTATATATTAATCGTGTATCGCGTACTGGACGCCAGCCATCATATCTGGTTGCCAGTCATAATGACTGGATCATGCGAGTTATAACAACTGGGTATCCAGTCTATCATCAATCTCCATTCACAACAGTAGTAACTGGATATCCAGTTTATCGTGATGCGAGTTATAATATCTGCATATCAGTTCATTTAATCAAGAAAGAATATAATGTAACGCACGCTTATGCACGAAGAACATACCGGTCTTTTCTTTTGCTGCAAAAGTGCATTATGCAGAGGTGCACAGGACATATCACTGCCATGGATCCCGTCACATCATGCCAACATATCTTGCTTATCATCTCAATGATGACCATATCAATGCTATTTTACTACTCTCTCTCTCTCTCTCTCTCTCTCTCTCTCTCTCTCTCTCTCTCTCTGAGACACAGTGTGTGTGTGTGTATGTGTGTGTGTGTGTGTGTGTGTGTGTGTGTGTGTGTGTGTGTGTGTGTGTGTGTGTGTGAGAGAGAGAGAGAGAGAGAGNTGTGTGTGTGTGTGTGTGTGTGTGTGTGTGTGTGTGTGAGAGAGAGAGAGAGAGAGAGAGAGAGAGAGAGAGAGAGAGAGAGAGAGAGATTGGGTTCAATCCTGCCGCCACAATGGAAACAGTCGTGCCAAAAAATCACGCTCGGACTTTTTAACAAAACTCTAAACGTACTTGCTGTCAGATCCGTCCACTTCGGGCCGTAATTACAGTCGGATGCATTTTGGAAAGTGATAGTGTGAGTATGCCCTGAATGCCCAAGCGAAGGACACCAAGTCATTCCGAAGAAAACAACGATGCTTGATGAAGTCGGGGAACAGAAAGAAGTGGGAAAAAGCGCTGACAATGCAGGGCGGCATGCACGCGCACGCTTTCACACTACCTAGTAAATTGAACAAAACAGGAATCATTCCCGGGGGGGGAGAAGAAGGCATGGAAGAAGGTGAAGAACCAAGGCTCGAAGGATATAAAAAAAAAGAAAAAACAAGAGGATGTGCCTCTGTTTTTTTCTAAAAAAGGAATAAGGATCCAACGTACGTCACCCGAATACAACGTACGGTCATTCAAGCTGTATTTGGGGTATCTTTCAGTATAAATACAGCTATAATGACCGTACGTTGCATTCGGGGGGAGAAGGCATCCACTCGAGTGAGCAAGCAGGACTCCGCTACGTGCTTTGTTCTTTCCTTGCTGAGCGTGACGATCTTGGTCGACGGAGTAATCCGCAAAGCGCCTTTCTGGCTCCAACGGTTCTGGCGCAACCTCTAAGCATCTGGAACTTCTGGAACTCTTTCTTGGGGGCCACCACGCTTCTGGGATTCTTCCTCCGGGGCCACCACGCTTCTGGAACTCTCCCTCTTGGACCACCACACTTCTGGAACTCTTCCTCCGGGATCACCACGCTTCTGGAACTCTTCCTCCCGTACCACCACCCTTCACTCTTCCCCCAACCGATTTTGTGTCATCATTGTCCTTGTTACCACAGTATAGCATAACAATATATGCAGCAGATCTGCGACGCCTACCATCTTCCCCCGTCCACCTCCCCTCGCTTCCCCTCATCCCGCCCGCCTCCCCTCTCTTCGACCTCCCCTTAAACATAATAATGCATTAAAAACACTTGATCATGAATGCATACAAGCTGTCTTTGTGGGTCTTATACAGTCAGAATTTATTAGATTGGTACACGTTGGACGGAAGAAGATAGCCGTCCGGATCCGGTTGATTGATTCTTCAGCCCCCGTAATGTTTGGTTGAAAACGTTAACGGGCGGCTTGAGCGGTTTGATTGGTCCTTTCTTCTTTTCCTTTTTTTGATTGATCCTTTTTTTTTTTTTGTGTTTAGGATTTTTAATGAAAAGAAGAAACGAAACGTCATTGAGCAAACCTGCCCTTGTGGAGATGAGTAGGAGCATCTCCAAAATTTGGGCCCTTGCAGTTGTGTTGATGGCCCTTTCTGTTGGTGGTTGGTGGGTGGGTGGGTGGGGTGGGTGGGGAGCTGAATCTCTGCTGGATACCGGGTACAGCGTCCGGTCCGGTTTGACTCAGTCTTCAACGGGACTGAGGAACGATTCAACTCTCGACATGACTTTTGAGGGTCGCTTAAGTGGCTTGATCAACTCGATGAATGTAATTGCCTGATTGGTCGGTTAACTGATTGAAAAATAGAATGACTGATTCACTTGTTGACTGATTAATCGACCGGGGGATCGAGTAATGATTGAGATAGCCAGGGTTGTGTCGAGAGCTGCTTGACAAATCAACTGATTGACTACCAGTAGTAGACTACTGGTTGATTGGTTAATCGACTGATTGATCTCGGTAGACACGATTGTGTCAAGGGCTGGTTCAGAAATAGACTGATTGACTAAGAGATTGATTGATTGATTGATCGAGTAGTAACGACCTCGATAGTGTTGAGGGCTGATTTACAATTCCTAAACAAATAGACTGATTGACTAATAGATCGATAGATTGATTGAACGGAAAATAACGACCTAGGTAGCCAAGGTTGTGTTGAGGGCTGATTGACAAACCGACTGATTGACTGGTGGATTTATCCAATCTTGCTTGCTTGATTGATTGATTGATTGATTGATTGATTGAACGACTTATGGGGTAATAACGACCTAGGTAGCCACGGTTGTGTCGAGGGCTTTTTGCATGAGGGAAACGAAATCGGCCTTGTTGAATGCTGCTCGATTGACACCTCCAAGATTTGGGTCGTTGTTGATCCCTGCATCGTAGCCCAGCGTCCTCAATGCCGCGTTGGCCTGTTGATTGCTGATCAGCCCCGTTTGTGCAACATCAAAGAGTGTGAAGACGGCGGCGAGATCTTCGGCATTGAAGAAAGGCATGGAGTGGGACTGCTTCAGCTCGCGCAGCTTGCCAATTAGAAACGCCTTGGGATTGAGTGGCTTGTTGTAAGCCAGAGCTCTCGTCATAGACTGGAACACTTGATACAGGCGATGGCGTTCCATGTACATCTCTGCTTGGACGGCAGGATCTCGGTGAGTCCTGTGCCGTCCGGCTTCTTTGACTCGCCGCCAAAGCTCCAAAAAAGTCACCTTGTCTTTTCCTTTCCTCTCCAGGCAATGTGCAAAATACGCCTTCACCTTGTCCTCATCTAAACCGCACAGACGCCAGTTCAAACCCAATTGCTCAATCCTCGCAATTGCGTCTGCGTGGGAGATCAGCCCATCTTCGGACTTGGATTCTGCCATGTACTTGTGGAACAGCTCACGCACACCCTTCTCCCCACTTTGTCCATAGTCTGTTGCCATTCTGTCACTCTTCGTCGTTCTCTCTGTAGGCAATCCAACTCACGACTTTAAAACTTTCGCAGATTGAGAAGGACTCTTTATTAAAAAGAAAGGGAAAAGAAAGGACTCTATCTCAGTCCGATTAAGGCTCGAAGAGGAGAAAGAGTGAGTGTGCCATACGTGATCGCTGATCGCTGGCTGGCGATTACCTCTCTCTCTCTCTTTCTCTCTCTCTCTCTCTCTCTCTCTCTCTCTCTCTCTCTCTCTCTCTCTCTCTCTCTCTCTCTCTCCCCTGTGTGTGCCTGACTCCTGCCTCCCGGCTTACCTCTGCTCGCCGCTCTGTCTTTCTCTCTGTCTGTATGCCTGCCTTACCTGCCTCCCGGCTTACCTCTGTGTTCGTCGGACATTCTTTGTCGATTTGATCCCCGACTTTGATCTCTAATATCTCGATTCATGCGTGTTTTCTTGGATTGCACAGGGGTCATGCTAAACCTCTTTCTCTGTGTCGTTTCAGTCCTTTCAACGAATGTCCTGACGGACTTGCTCTCTAATTTGAACACTCCCTATCGACAGCATTTCCCTCCCTCTCTCTCTTCGCTTTTCTTTTTTTGTTTTGGTTACCGAAGTTGCCTTCTACTTTAGTTCTGGGGCAAGGTCCCACTAGCAAAGAGGATTGGATCAAGCGCCTAAATCTGGACGAGTTTTATGCAGAGATGCAGAAAAGCAGGTGAACGGCGATTTGTGCACTTCTCCACAAGCACGTCCCAGGTCAACTGTTAAATCCAATCGCCTTTGCTAGTTGAGTCCCTGGAGCGAGATCCCACTACACGTGCATGTGGAGTAGCGGATAGGGCGTGTGACCCTTCTGCGCTGTTGATGATAACGGTGACCAGGGGCGAGGTCCCGTGCAAAGAAAGCTTCCCGCCAGAATCTTTTCAATCGGTTGGGGGTGTGGCCAACCCCAAAAGAGGGTGGGGTCGGCCATAGGCCCACTCGAGGCCGGGGACCTCACAAGTCAACCCGGAGTTATCTCGGCAGCATCAGCCGATTTAGCTTATGAGTATCTCTGCATTAACACCGTACGGACCCTTTCCATGCCACTCGGAAACATAGTAAACTTCCTACCTGAAGCCAGGTTCAAATCACTATTTATCCTCCACATCTTTATTAATCCTTACAACCAGTTGGACTTAGCCTCTCACTCCCCCCAGGGGTCTAAATCTGAGCAACATCTGACAGCTGATGCTATGCTGCTGCAACTAGACCCTGACTCCGAAACTAACCTACAAATCTACCGAACACCCTATCTATCAGTATTCTACCACCAAGGCCTAAACCGGCCTGCTACCGGCCCAACATCGGCCGGTTGGAACCCGGTCGTTCCTGGTAACCGTGACACTCTACCACCTCCCCTCCCCTTGTTGACCTCCCGCAGTCCGGAGTCCTGAGACGGCCCCGAACCGAGTGCCCTGGTTCGGGAAAACTACAGACCCTACCCCAACTATCCTACCTACCGACGCTCAATCCACCTACACAATACCAGGTTGCCTTCAGGGGACAGGTGAGCCAAGCGACCGCCGGAACACCACGTTTTCCCAAACCAGGATAGACCACTGGACCGGTTTCCTTGTTGTACTCGTCGCGACCAGTCAGCCCTGATTGCTGTTGCAAGCATGGCGATGAAGGTAGCTTCCACCTGAGCCTCCGACCAGCTTTCTTTCTGAAACCGGAGGCTGTTCCTGTCCGACCAGATCACCCAAAACATGATGGCCCGTCCCACTTGGGCTACATAGCCCCAGCCTTCCGAGACACTTAGTCCCTGCGGAACTGCACCCAGCAGTACCCAGCGTTGTCCTACCAAAGTGGGTTGGTTGGTGAGCCGTCTCCAATGCATTTCCCACCAATTCCACCACTTCCTTGACTTTGGACAACTCCACCAAAGGTGTTCTACCGTTTCCTCCTGAGTCTGACAGCGGTCGCACAGCTTGTTAACGTCCATTCCTCTGTCTGCTAACCAGGTGGCAGTGGGGATCGCCAGGCGTGATTGGAGCCATAGCAAAGACGCAAGCTTTTGTGACGGAATTTCCTTCAACTGTGTCCAGAGCCTGGTTAGCTCGCGATCCTCTGGAGGGGCCAGAGTCGGGATAACTTTGTCCCACCGTAGAGAAATTCTGGCTGTAACCGAAATCCCAGATGTGTTCAATTTCTGAATGATTCTCGAGCTTAAGTTTTCCAGGCCCGTGATGCGCTTCCCCTCCATTACCCAACCCCAGACTGCTGAGTCGATTCTCATCCTTTTCAGAATGGTCCCGTTCGCCACCAAGAGAGGGATCATGGGGAGACCAACCTCCGCAGGCGTCTGCAACCTCACCCTCACTTCCGTTAGACCCCTGAGCCCATACTGAAAGTGCATTCCCTGTCTTTCAAGGGCCGGCAGAGTAGGGGACTGTCGTCTGTAAGTCTCAAGCCAACAGCGCCCAAAACCGTCCTCAAACCAGCTCTCCAATCTACAGTACCATCCATCCTCCCCATTCTCCCAGCTGTACCACGTCCCTGGGGGGTCAATGCCCTTGGGCCCAAGCAACTCTCTCCAAGACTCCGATATGGCTTTCCTTAGACACTCCGCCTTCTCCTCTTGCAGCGGTAGGCGTCCTAGGCTGATCCTGAGCAGGGAGTCAGCCTTCCATTGGTTCGTCGAGTCGTCCCAAGGATCTCCAACTGTGGAGATACCACTCTGCAACCAGCTCAGTCCAAAGGCTCCTGGTTCTTTTGCCAGGGTAAAGGGCTCGCCTTCCTCGTCAGTGATCCAGTCGTTCTCAAACAGTGGCTGTCTCCTCACATCTTCTTTTGCTCCGCAGGCGTCTGCAACCTCACCCTCACTTCCGTTAGACCCCTGAACCCATACTGAAAGTGCATTCCCTGTCTTTCAAGGGCCGGCAGATTAGGGGACTGCCGTCTGTAAGTCTCAAGCCAACAGCGCCCAGAACCTTCCTCAAACCAGCTCTCCAATCTACAGTACCATCCATCCTCACCATTCTCCCAGTTGTACCACGTCCTTGGGGGGTCAATGCCCCTGGGCCCAAGCAGCTCTCTCCAAGACTCCGATATGGCTTTCCTTAGACACTCCGCCCTCTCCTCTTGCAGCGGTAGGCGTCCTAGGCTGATCCTGAGCAGGGAGTCAGCCTTCCATTGGTTCGTCGAATCGTCCCAAAGATCTCCAATTGTGGAGATACCCCTCTGCAACCATCTCTGTCCAAAGGCTGCTGGTTCTCTTGCCAGCGTAAAGGGATCGCCTTCCTCGTCAGTGATCCAGTTGTTCTCAAACAGTGGTTGTCTCCTCACATCTTCTTTTGATTTAGGAGGAACAACAATCGTCGGCAGTGCCTTCTTCCACGTTGCTAACACATCCCGCCAGAACTGGGAAGTTGACCGCTTCCTCACAAAGGATTTGGACATGATGGCCACCCAAACATCTGAGTGGCGTCTGAAGTCCCACTCCTGGGCCAGCAGTGCTTCTGCTCGGAAGATCCAGTACACTTCCTCTTCAACTTCTGCAACCCGAACCACTCAGCGGGCCAACAGATACGTGTTTTGTGTCGTTGGATCTAATAGTGCCAAACCCCCGTCTTCTCTTCGCATGCAGACCACATCCCAAGCAACCTTTGGGATGAATCCCTTTTTCGGGTCTCCCTCAGGTTTCCAAATGAAGCGTCTAGCCACGGCCTTCACTGACTTGAGAGCCTGCGGAGATAGCTTACGAACTGTTGCAACGTACCATAGAAGTGCAAAGGTCGATCCCATAATTGCTAGGGCTCGACCAATCAGCGAGAGATGGAAAGCCTTGCCCCAACTTTTAACTCTCCTGGTTACTTTTTCATGCAGGATTACTTCCTGAGCCGAAGAACAGTCCGCCAGACCAATCTGTTCCCCCAGAAACCTCTCTGCAGTGTCCGCTTGGACTCTTTCCATACCCCATTGTACTGCCATCGGAAACTGCTTTGGCAGAAAGAATGTTGATTTGTTTCAGTTGACCGTAGCCTCCGACAGTTCCCCAAAGTCCACCAGGCAGCCTTTCAGCGCTTCCAACGACGACCTTTCGTTAGTTGGAATGGCGAACAGATCGTCTGCGAGCGCTTTAACCCTTCACTCTCTCCCGTTTGGAAGGCATAGTCCAATTATCTCTGGGTGGCACCTGATGTTAGAAAGCAATGGCTCCAGCCTCCAGGTGCAAAACAAATAGCAGGGACGCTAACGGACAACCCTGGCGTAACGACCTTGAGAGCTTGAACTCTTTGGAGATGACTCCGTTGACACAGACAGCCGCTGTGGAGAAACTGTACAGCACCTTTACCCATCTGCAGAATGCTTCCCCAAACCCGGCCACTTTCAGCGTTGTGATTACGAATGTCCAGTTGACCCGGTCATATGCCTTCTCCAAATCCAAGAGCAGGACCGCTGTCTCCTCATCTTCCCTGTCGATAAGTTCCAGTGCCTCAATTGCCGTAACAACATTCTCAAATATGGAACGACCCTGAACAAAGGCACCCTGGTCCCTTCGGAACAGTCCCAACAAAAACTTGCTCAATCTGTTGGCTAGGATCCTGGCCAACAGTTTGTACACGACATTCAGTAAAGATATTGGGCGTCAGTTTCGCACCTCACAACAATCGCCTTTTTTGAAAAGCAAGGAGATGATTCCCCGTGTCATTGATTGTCCCGATTTGCCACCGCTCAACACTTCGTTGAACATCTCCGTAAGATCTCTTGCAAGCGAGTGCCAGCAGCAGGCGAAAAATTCAATTGGCAGACCGTCATCGCCTGAAGCTTTGCCTCGAGCCATGATCTTGACTTTTTGGGTCGGTTCCTCCTCCGATACTGGTCTGTCCAGCCAAAGCCTTCCTTCTGCAGTAAGCCTAACCATGAAATTATTCCAGAGGGGCGACAACAGGGACATGTCATCGTCCATGGTGTCGTACGGCCTTCTGGTCGTCATGATGTCTTCGAAGTAGTCCACGGCGTATCTGCACATCTCGTCGTTAGTATTCGCAAGCGGTAGGCCCAGGTGATGAGGGTGTCCCAATTCCCTCATTTAAACTGCCCGATTCCTTGGGAGCAATCTCTGAAACGTTTGTTTCGTCATTCTGTCTTAGGAGACAATCCCTTTAACCTTCAATATCTGATGTCGATGCTCCTCTTTCTGATTTTGGTGTTCATCCCACAGTCTCAACCTTTCTGCCCTTTCCTCAGACCAAAAAAGGTCAGTGACTGGGTGTTGGCCGATCCTCTCTTCCACCTCTTCCACCCTTTCCTTCAGCACCTGTTCTTCCTTGTTGCAGCTAAAGGCTACGATTTGGGAGTAAGAGTCTAGCCTCAGGGAGATTATTCTGATTCCAGCATCTACCCATTCGGCATGTGACCCAAACTGGTTTCTGGCCTCTTTCCAGCTGCGCCAGAACCCTTTTACCCAGCAAGTCAGACCCTCATCTTCCAAGAGAGCAGTATTCAACCTGAAGTACCCCGGGCCTCGATCTTCCGTGGCAGCGTTGGTGCGGTCCAGGATTAGTGATTTGTGGTCTGAGAAGGATTCATTTGCTGCCATAATACTCATGACGTCGCTAGAGGCCACAACTGAGACTAGAAAAAAAATGAGTCTTCTCTTTACACCTGCCATGAGCGCTGAGCGAGCTACCCATGTGTGGTCGGGGACCTGCGGATACAGTTCTCTGAAAACATCCACCAACTCCCAGGCCT